AGACAGCAGGCTCTTTGAGGGTCAAAGACTGTGGCCTCAGTATGACCCTGCAGGGCCTGGCACAATGCTGGGCACACAGTAGCCCCTCCCTAAATGTCTGTGGATCCATTTGGGTATGAAGACCAGATCATGAAAAAGGTGGCCCTGGAAAGAACCCACAGCTTTCTGAGGGAGGCAGCCCCAGGCCCGCTCCCAGCCCACCCTGTGCAGTTCAGTCTGCATTCTGGCTGGGAGCTGGGCTCTCACTCACACCATCTGCTCAGCATCTCTTTGGGTTGCTTTTTCTCAGCTTCATATTAGGAAACAATTAAAAAATTCCCTTGAAAAACACGAGCAACAGAGGTGGGGGAGGGTGAGCAAAGGACCACTTACAGTAGGCATGGGGGGCATGGGAGGTTCTCAGCTGGGGGCCAACTACTATTCCAGCAGTCCCAGCAGGGGGCAGTGGAAGGAGCAACAAGAAGAAGGGCTGTCCCCGGGAGTGTGGGGTGGGATGAAGAGGGTCTTAGAATTGAACTTATTCCATAGAAGGAATACAACTATCTTGCATTGGGATCTTGGGCAGGTCATTTCCTGTCTCTGGCCTTCGGTTTACCTATACAGGAAATGGACCGTCCATCCCTGACATCCTATGACTGCCAAGCTATTCAGCCAAAGGGGTACGCTGCCCCGTGCCTGCAATGCCAAGGGAACTAGGTGAGGCACCCTGACTGCCCAGATGTTCGGAGGGTAGAGAGGAGATTCATGAGGCGGCCTGTGGAGCCCCCCAGAGACCCTCGGAGAAGGTCCAGCCTTCGCCCCAGGCCGTCTCAGATCTCGGGGAGGTCGGAGGTGTCCACAAAGCAGAGAATGACATGCAAGTGGGAGCCCAGATCTGCAGAGTTAGCAAGACCCCCAGGGGAGACTGATGGAAAGGCAGAGGTCTTCGGTCCACAGCTTAAAGAACACATATCTATGGGCTTAATTTAGAAAATTATTACCCGGAGATAGAGAGCCTGCTAGGATATAAGCTTCAAGCAAAACCAGAGAGGTGAAGGATCAAGGCCAGGGCAAGCTCAGAGTCTCCACCTCCACTGGTCTGGATTTCCCATGCAGTCAACACTCTATAAACATCTCTCAGGCACCCACCCCGAGCCAGGACACAGTCGCTGCCCTCAGGGAACTCAGTCGAGGGGAAGGGTTGGACCCTCAGCAACAGAACTGCAATATAATTTGGTAAGTGCACTCACAACAGGAATGCTCCCTCTGGGGCTGGAGCAGGCCGGTATAAGGTGAGGACTGTGCTGTGAAATCCCATACAGGTCACTTAGCTTTGCACAAAGAGAAAAAATGTCCTAGCCACAGACCAACTCCTAACCACAGCCACAGGCTAAGTCTTAGCCACAGAATAAGACCAAATCACAGTTACAAAGAGACCCCAAAGTCCAGGCATACCACACACACTGGTCCCAACACTAACCACAGAAGGGCTCAACTGCAGTCTCTGAGTCCCAAGGGTAACTTCCATATCTCAGGGCTCTGGGCAGTAAAGTCACTGGCTGGGACACTCCTGAGCTGAATCCAAAGAGCAGGACAGAGTGTTTGGTGGATGAGAGGGGAGAGTTGATAGTGGGTCAATGAGGTTTCCCTCCAGGTTGTTGGTCTGCTCTGGGCCTGGCTGGGCCAGCTTGATCCTCTGACAGCCCCCTAGGCCCTGTCATCCCCCAGAACAAAACAGAGTCAAGCACTCAGAGGACATTTGTAAATATTTTCGGAATGAATAAATACGTTAACTCATAATCCCTTACTGTGGCCCAGATTCCTGATCTCTGCTCTCTCCTGCTTCTCCTCATACCCCACTGACTCCTTCCTTCCAGCTTTTCCATGCACTCAGATCTCCCCAGCTCAAAAGCAACATCTACACCTGACTTTCACCATCTCCACTCAGCCCTCAGCACACTGCAGTCTGCTGTCCACCTCCTGGTCCTCCCCTGAACTGTGCTCATTGACATCAGCAGCACCACCAGGCCACTACACCCCGTGGCCACTGTGCACTCCCACAGTTCTTGGCCTCCCAGCAGCATGTGACACTTTGTGCAATGTCCCTTCCCTCCATGTCCAGGTCCAGCCACCTCTGCAGAGACCCAGGGCCAGCGGCACACGGGGGAGTCCCTCTTTTCTTCTCACTCCACCCTCTGCCTGGAGAGCTCACCACCGTGAGCTGATCTCTCAGAGAATGTTCCCAGATTTGGGCCTACAGCCCAGACCCTTCTTCTGAGCCTGGCCCCAGATGCCCAGCTGCCCACAGACATCCCACTCACGTCTCAGGCACTTCAAACTCAGCACATCGAGAATTTAGCCCCTCACCTCCCCATCCCCCGCACCCCAGGTCATCCTAATCTCAGCAAAAGGCTACACCACATATCCAGTTGCTCCAAACCTGGAAGCCATTCTTTTCTCCTCCCTCTCCCCTGACCCTCAAATCTCCTCAATCTACCTCCTTGAAATCTGAGATGCAAATCAGGATTACCGTAGCAGCTTCCCAACTCATCTCCCAATCTCTACTCCGCTCCCTCTCACGCATTCTCCACACAACAACCAGGGTGATCTTCAAAAATCCCAACCTCTTACTCATCTGATGAAAATCAACTTCAGTGCCCTTTGTTAGGATAAGCACCAAGCTCTTTCAGCAAAACATCCCACTGTCTGCTTGTTCTGGTCCCCGCCTATACGCTCAACCTCTCCGTCCCTAACCCTGGAAGCCATTTTGATCTTCTTTGGGTTCCTCCACTGCACGCTGCTGTCTCCTGCCTCGGGGCGTTTGTACGTGCCCAGACCAGTGCTTCTCAAGCTTCACGCGCAAACCAATCACTTGGGTACAGATTCTGATTCAGGAAGTCTGGGGTAGGGCCTGAGATTTTGCATTTCTAGAGTGCTCCAAACAATGCAAAAGACGATCCAAAAGATGCCAGTGCTGGTGCCTTAGCCTCACTTTGAGTTAGTAGCATCTAGAACCTTCTCCCCTTGACTCCACCCTTCCCTAACTAACTCCTACTCAACTCTCAGGGCTCAGCTTAAACGCCTTTTCCTCAAAGAAGCCCTATCTGACCCTCCTCAAGACTAAGTTAGGTAGCCTCCAACTCCTGTTATATTCTCCTGAGCTTACTTGCTTCTTTAGATTATTCACCACAGCTAACTGTCTGTCCCTCATTCTTGAAATTATTTTTTCAACTTTTCTCTCCCTAGCTAGATACAAGCTCCAGGACAGCAGGGACTAAAACTGTCTTGTTCATTACTAGATCCCCAGCATCCAGCACAGGGCCTGGCACATCGTCAACACTTGTGGCAGAAAGCTGTTGGCTTGCCCACCCCACTCATTTCCTCTTCTTCTCATAGCAGCACCTCGATTTTCCTTTCAGGAACCACACCTTCCCCACTCTCAGTTCTTATGGTTTAGGTGGGTGAGCATGAACTTAGATCTGGCCAGTCAGTGCCTTCTATCTCTCCAGTCACAATGATTGGTTCAGGGATAGGCATGTGACCTAAGCCAGGCCAATGAGCTTCATCCCTGGGACTTTTGTTAGAACTACTGCAAAAAAGATACTCTTCTTTCCACTAGGGTTACTTTTAGTAGGTAGGAGTTGCTGTCACCATCCTGCCACCACAGGGACAGAGCTTGACAAAGAATGAAACCCACACAGAAAGAGACAGAAAGAGACAGATTTCATGGATGAAGCCATGCCTGGGGTCTATACTTGCCATTACAAAGGCAATAAATTTCCTTTTATGCTTAGGTCAAATTGAATTATGTTTCTGTCATGACCAAGAGTCCTGACTATTACAACATTCATAAAAATATTGGGCATTGAATGAATTAAATGAGTGAGTGAGTGAATAAGTAAAGCCTGCCAAGACAACTCAGTAACTCCTTCTAGGAGACTTTCAGAGTTCTCTCTGAAAAATGCACGCAATCCACGAGCACAGAGACAAGCATCCCACACCCAACTTTGCAAACCACAGGGCTGAAACTCAGAATGGTGGCATGCTTCTCAGTATTACTCTATGCAAACAAGCCAACCCCAGCACCTAGCTCAGATACCAACACGGGGACCAGGCTGGTGAAGCTGGTCTGACTTTCAATGGCCCCTGGGGACCCCACCAGGAGGAGAGCAGAGATGTCCTCATCAGCCCTGAGCTCGTCCATTGCTGAACTCCTAATCCAACCGCGGCCAGCTCTGGCTGCCATTCCCATACCACATGGCCCTGCTCCTGGTGGGTGTTCAGTATGGGAGGAGAGTAGGAAGATGGATAGGTTTTACCTGCATCCTCTGGGGGTATCACCTTGCAATAGGTTAGGTCAGGGAAGGGGGGGTGCAACAGGAAGCAGCATGGAAGAGATGTCTAATTATTTCCCTGTGAGTCACCCCATAGCAGAGCCCTAGAACAGAGATGAGGGCTGGCCTAGATGTCCCCTCAGATGACTCAGGAAGCAGGTGACTTCTTCAGAGCTTGTGCTCACCTGGTAAAGTGTGACAGAGGGAAGTGCTTCGCTGCCTAGGCAGGGACACTGGCTGAGCCAAAAGTCCCCCTGAAGGCCAGCTCAGGCCTGTGGGGTCATCCTGATGGGGGGACTGGAAGGTGGACAAGGGAGGGTGTGGCAAGAGGCAGGGAAAAGAGTACAGTCCCCTGCTCCTTTCCAGGAACGAGAGGGTCCTGGGATATGGTGTCCCTGGGAACAGACTTATGAATGAAGTGCTGGTGGGAAAAGAGCTACTGCCCTCCCGCCCAACCTCCAAGACAACTCTCCCACAGGGATGGGGTGGCAGGGACAGGGCCCAGGGCCCTCCCAGGAGGGACAGTCAGAGGCAGGGAGATCCACATGGGAGTGCCATCCAAGTCCCATGAGGGGCCCACCCCAAAAGACCCCTCCTTTCCCACCCCCAGCCCCAGCCCCAGCCAGTCCTTCTGGGTGGCTGCCTCCTAAGGCACCCGCTGCATTCAAAGTCTGCCCTACTTCCTCCTATCTGGGCTCCTTGTTCCTGAGCCCCTCAGCTCCACCAGGCCTTCTGCTAATGACCAAGAGCCTTGCCAACCCTGTTTCAGCACCAGTCCATTTCCTCGCTGCCCCTTGACACAGCCACACCTCAGTCTCACAGCCACGCTGTCTTACAACACCAGTGCAGCTTAATCAGATGCTGACTCCAGAGGTGTCGGGCACTCCATGGCCCCCACTGAGACGCAGAACAGCTGCGCCTGCAGGCAAAGTGACATCAAGGCCTCGACACTTTTCCTACATGCTTCCTCTCTCCCTTTACCAACTCTAAGCTCTTACCTTCATGGTGGGAGGTGCAGTGAGAGGAGGGGACAGCGGCCGCTCTGGGAGGGTCACATCCGAGCTGTTGGCCAGCTCCTGCTTCCTGTGAAGGGGTCAAAGAACAGAGAATTGGTGAGTGAGGGCCTGCCAACCACCTTCCACTCCCCTCCTCCAAGAGTGCTGAGCTCAGGGGCACAGTCTAACAAGCAATGCAGAAAACAAGGAGTGCATTTTCTTTGCTGGGATATTCTAAACCCTAAAGCACCGCTATGCCAAGTGCAGGCCCTGGACCGCCAGCATCAGCATCACCTGGGAAATGCCAGAAACGCAAATTCTCAGGTGCACACAAGGACCTCCGGTAACGGGGTCCAGGCATCTGTCTTTTAGCAAGTTCTCCAGGTAATTCTGACGCATGCTAAAGTTTGAGAACCACTGGTCAAAACACATACAGGTCACAGGACTGAGGCTGGGGAGGGAAAAGAAGGGCAGAAGGGGTTATCATTTGGGATTCATCCTCCCTGGAACCCCTTTGCCCCTACACACACACACACACACACACGCACTCACACACACACATATACACGCACGCATACACGCACACACACCCCCCAAGGCCTTGGCCAGAGAGCGGCCCTTGGGAGGATGAGGTTACTTGTATGTATGTAAGCTGCAGGTAAAACTTATTTTAGGCCATTGCCGGCTAGGACAGTGGCGAGGCAGCTAAACAGAGTTGTGTCACCATGACAACACGATTGCGACAAGTTTGCTGCTCTCACACACGCCCCACTTTCCATCTGGCCCTTGCTGGTAACCAGGCTGTTTGCATTCCCATCACCAGGCAGAATGTTTGGGGTGAGATAAGTCTTCTCGGCAATGGTTATGCAACAGGGCCAGCCGCGTAAAACCTGGGGGAATCCCTGGACAAGGGACTCTGGTGTCCGGGCCTCGTCCTGGCTATATCCCAAGGGAGAAGGAGAGGCAAGGATAATGACATTAAGAGCCTAAGAAGAGCGATCTGGGCCATCGAAGCCCCCAACTTTGTAGCTCTCTCCTTCTCCAGAGCTCCCCCCAAAGCCAAGAGAGTCAGACCTACACGTGCATCCATACTTAAATGACTAAAGGATCCCACTGCCACCTCGAGAAAATGCTTTTGTACCCCTGACCAGTCCATGTCCTGCCATCTGGGACAACGGCTCCAATCCCAAGCCTTCTTCATAGGAGAAGCCCACCCCTCCATGCAGAGCCCCAGACCTCCAGCTTTCAAAGGGGAGCCCTGGCCCTGGTGCCCAGACTCTAGTCCTGCTCCCCTCAGCCCACAGGGCATCAGCCCCTTTCCAGTCATCTCAGAGAGAACAAGATCCAGGAAGAAAAAAGTGGAAGACAGGTGGAGACACAAACAGGGGAGACTGGCAGGGTTGAGGTTGATGGGGTCACACGGCTCCCTGGCCAAGCCAGATGGTTCAGGCAGCCTCCTTATATGGCCTCTGGCACCTGGAAGGCCCAAGAAACCAGGCCGGGCCCCGCAGAGCCCTGTCTACCCTGGCTCAATGACTCCTGTGTGCCCTGCAGCCTGCTGCACCTCACTGTCCTCTAAGCAGCCAGATAATGAGGCCACCTGAACATTTGGCTTGGCAGAGGAGCCATACGACCCCATCAGCCTCAACCCTGCCAGTCCCCCCGCCGTCTGCTCCTCCATCTCCCTTCCACTTCCTTTTCCCGGACTTGGTCTCTCTGTGATAGCTGGAGAGGGCCCTTCCCTCCTGATCCAGGGTGTAACCAGTCCAAGAACCAGCAGGGCCAGGACTCAGCACGTGCATGCAAACACACACCTACACTCACACGCAGAGGAACGGACCCAGCTCCTGCCACCTCTCAGCTGGAACCCCTAGCTTCCTCCTTCCATTTATGGCCTTGGACGTTACTGTCATGGAGTCCAGTACGGCTGCTCTGCCCCTCAGCACAGGCTGGCCTGCTCCTGCCTCTCTGCCCTCTTCTGGACAGCCAATGTTCCCTCTCACTGGGCTTGAGTCCTGAGGGCCATGATGGGAGAAGGGGAAGGGGGAAGGTGATAAATGATAGAGAGCTCCACCCTAAGGTGAGGATGACAGCAGCTCACCTGTGGGGCTCAGAGTCTGGGAGGGAAAAGCAAGCAGAGAGAGGAAGGAAGGCAAGCTCACCCCCACCCGAAGTCTCTAGCCTTTTGCCCTGAAGATGACAACAGAAGCCCTGGCTCTCCAGGAACACAAGCCCTAGAGGAGGACAGTGCTGGCAGGTTTTAGTATCACTGGCCAAGGGACGCTCCATATACACAGCCACGCTGTCCACTTCTCTCCACCAGCAGCAAGATGTCCAATTCCATGGGACCAGAGCAGACGTAATTATTGGCCAAGGCCCCTGAGCCCCCAGCAAAGGGCCCTAGCACCAATCCTCCCCTAGCTGAGCCCCTCTCCCCTGGGCAAGCTGTTTCCGCTGGAAGCTGGAATAAGCTCCTGGAACTAGTCTCCCAGGGAGTGGCGTAAACTATAAAGTGGCAGCTCAGGGCATCTTCCTGCCAGCAGGCATTTAAGAGTGACGCTTGGGAGCCTGGAAAGTGCGAGAGCAGGAATGAGCACCAGCGGCTTATTGGCCTTATGCTGACTCCAGGGCTCTGGCCAAGACTAAGGGGAGGGGACACCAGGACGTGCAGAAGGCATGGTTGCTGCCCTCAAAAAGATCAGAACCCAGGGCACAAAAGACTGTTTGTCACAAATTGAAATCTACCCTGCCCTGGCATCCAGACGACCCAAGTGGCACCTCAGGGGAGACGGGGCCACACTGCACCATCCGGGCTCTAGCCTCCAGCCCTCCCTCCTAGGAGCCAATGGCACATATTTAAGAGCAAACTACCCAAGTTCCAGGTTCTAGCCTTGACCTTGTAATTGAAAGAACAAAAACAAGGAGGATCAAAGCAATTGCTTCCGCCTCACCAACCCTGCTCGGATCAGCTGTGCTCAACCTTGTCCTGCCCCAGCCCTCACCACCAATGACATTTACACGTGAGCCACACTCCCAAGGACGGCCAGGCCCAGCCGGGCCAGCCACCAGCTGGTGCTGAGATAAGGCACAGTCAGAGTTACAGTCCTCTCTCCCCCACTCCGCAAGCATCTCAAACATGAGTAGGTGAAAGTGACATGATCTATCAAGGGATAACCTTGAATCTGCTCTCATTTATTATAAGCAAATGGTAAATCATTAGCAAACGTTGACCACTTTATTCCTATTTGTAATAACTTTCTTGTAACCCACAATGATCTGCACATGTGTCATGGCACTGAGATTGAAAACTGCCCCTCCAACGAAGCCAGCCAAATATTGTAAGGATGCAGGGCCCCAGACCCACACAGGGATACACAGGAACCCACGAGAGGACGTGACGGTGATGGAGGCAGCAAGGAAAGGAGAGAAGGGGGGAGGAGGCAGAGAAGGTACAGGAGGGGAGGAGGAAGACTGTACATTCAGCTAAATGAGAAGGGTGGCCACTTACATGAAATATCTAGAATAAGCAAATGTACAGAGATCAGACTCAGAAGCTCAGTTAATGGTGACGGAAACATTTAGAAACTGAAAATGGTGATGATTACGCGATATGATGAATGGAATCGATGTCACTGAATTGCACATGTACAAAATGTGGAAATAGCAAATGTTTTGTTATATGGATACTTGCGGCACAATTAAGCGCTTGCCTACTAACTAAAAGATTGGAGGTCGAGTCCACCCACAGGTGCCTTGGAAGAAAGGCCTGACGATTGACTTCCAAAAAATCAGCCACTGAAAACCCTATGGAACAGTTCTACTCTGACACACACAGGGTCGCCATGAGTCGGAGTCAACTGGCTGGCAATGGTTCTAGGTTCTGGTTGTTGTTGTTAGTTATTGCTGGTTGCCTTCTAGTCCATCCTGACTCCTGGCGATCCCCTGAGTTACCACAATTAAAAAAAGAGAGAGAGGGGTGACAAGACCAGGTGTGAACGGGCAGGTGAGCAGAGCCTCCTCCAGGCCTGAGGGGAGTCGTGGAGGTGCTGCCAATCAGCATCTCTGCTGCCTCTCAGCCCCAGCGCCATGCTGGTTCTCTACTCCCAGAAACCTGGGAGATCCTGGGGCAGATGAGAGGGCTCTGGGAGGCCCAGAGAGGTCCTAGCAGGCTTTATTGAGATGCAGATCTCAGTAGGAAATGATCAAAGGGGCCGAGAGTGGAAGTTGAGAAACCAAAGGGGATGATTCACCCAGATGCTGCTGTTCACAGGGACCTGGGGAAGGCCTCTATTATAGCACCCAGACCCCCAGCTCCTCACCTCCACCCCAGATGGCTCCACCCCAGACCATCTGAGGTCATATGCAGCCACCATCTCTCCAACATTGCTATGGAACGTGCCCTACACTAGGAATCAAGAGATTCCTGGATTCCACCTTGGCTCTGCCTGCTACCTGGCTGTGTGACCTTGGTTAAGTTACCTCTTCTTTCTGTGTTTCGGTTCCTTCTGCAAAGATGGGGGCAATCATATTCTGAGGAATTAAAAGTAATGGTTGGGAAATAAACATCAAGTCTCATACAAGCGTAGACCATTATTATCATTAATTGTTATTATAACTATTATAAAATAGTGATCTGGTCTCCAAGTGGGGAGAGAGAAGCAAGAGTCTAGGGCTGTGTCAGTGTCTTTGAAAACATTTCCGGCATCTCAAATAAGCATTGGAGCCCTAGTGGCACAGTGGTTAAGAACGTGGCTGTTAACTAAAAGGTCAGCAGTTCCAATCCACCAGCCGCTCCTTAGAAACCCTATGGAGCAGTTCTACTCTGACCTACAGGGTCGCTATGAGTCAGAATCGACTCTACAGCATCAGGTTTGGTTTGGTTTGGTTTGGTTTTTGATCAGCAGATGGCCCTGGGGACAGGTTTGAGGTCTCCCAAACCTTCAGACTCTCCTTTTCTGCATCTCCCCACACCGGGCTCAGCTCCGCTTTCCCTCTTGCTTTCCCTAATAGCCAAGCTAGAGAGATACAGACTGCTAACCGCTGCAAAAAGCTTCACCAGCAAACCAAACCAAAAGGAAAAAGAAACGT